CTTCGCTCTCCTTCACACTCGACTCCGGTGCGTCTACCTGCTTCTTCCGAGACCACACTTCCCTTACGCCACTTGCCGCCCCTGCCACAGTCGCCCTTGCAGACCCCTCCTCCAGCCCCGTAGTTGCACGTAGCTCCACCACCCTTCCCTGTCCGGCGGCCCCCTCGAGCATTCTTACAGGCCTGCATATCCCCTCGTTCTCTAAGAACCTAGTTGGGGTCGGCTGTCTTTAGGACCTTGGCGTCACCACTATGTTCCCCGGACACGAGCGGTAAGCAGTCTGCACCGAGACCGCCACTGGTGCTCCTCTGACCACGTTCCCACGGGACCCTGTGTCTGGCCGTTTTACGCTTGACACTGCGTCCCCCCCGGTAAGGGCGTCCCCCCCAGGTAGCCGCGGCTTGCTCGTGTCGATCGCTCACTCCCCCATCAATGCTGTGGCACCACCACCTAGGTCACCCTGCACTCCCACGACTGCGTCACATGTCCCAGTACGTTCTTGTCCTAGGTCTTCCTGCATCGCTCCCTTCCCTCCCTCTCTCGCCTACCGTCGTGCATGCCCTGCATCGAGGGCCGGCTGCGTCGTGCTCCTCACTCTTCCTCGCTTCGCCCTGTCACTGCGCCACTCCAGACCCTGCACCTGGACGTCTGGGGCCCAACCCCCGTCCCTGGGCCGTGTCGAGAGCGCTACTTCCTGGTGCTTGTTGACGACTACACGCGCTACAACACGGTGTTTCCTCTGGAGCGGAAGGCCAACGGGCCTGACGTTCTGATCCCGTGGGTCGTAGCTGCACGAGTCCGCCGCGGTCTCCCTGTGCTGTGTCTCCACTCCGACCGTGGCGACGAGTTTGTGTTAGGATTAAGGACGGAGTCTAGGTGAACTTAGGAGCTAGAATTACTCAAAATATAAATCCGAAATTCTGGACAGAAAAGTCGTCTTCACAAGAAACGACGTCGACAAACAACTAGCCGTTGGAATGTCGCGAAACTTGGATATGTTGTAGCTCTTAATCTCAGCTACCGTTCCCAATTTGAATCATGTTGATTGATAAAGTATTCGCGACGCTATGGCTTTCGACGCACTAGGGGGTAAGCTGTAGGAGGAGAACTTAACTCAATCTCAAAGGTTCAATCAAAGTTCAAGAATCTCACAAGGAATTAGAAGGAGCAAGAGAAAGGTTGGGATAGGAAGAGAGGGATGAGAGGGAAGGTCCCAAGAGAGTCCCCAACCAAGGAAACCCCATAAGCACAAAGATTCCCTCCCTATAGGAACCCCAACTTTGACATTTGTCCCTTCCCAACCAATCCATCCAAGTTGGCCACCCTTGCCAACCTAGCTTGGTTGTTCCCAACCAATTTGCAGCTGTTACAGTGAGTGACAAATTTCCCAAACCCCCAAAGGTCCCAACTCCATATAGAGTCACCCCACAACTTCACTTTGTAACCGCCGCAATTGTAACGCAAGCTCATGAACTTTGAATCTTCATAGCTTTCGCGTTCTTGCTCCGATTGAAGGGATTCTCGTTGCGTCGGAAAGATCTTCTCAAGATCTATCATCACAAAAAACCTGCTCAAACAAAATAACACAAAACACATTCCCAAACTCCAGAACACATCACACACAAATTCTTGCACACGTTCAAACCACACATGCAAGTTGAAAAAATATGGGATGGGAGGCAGACAGAATGTGATAGCATATGATGACATCACACAACAATCTCCCCCTCTGGCTGCCAACCATCATCCACCATACCAACATCTCAAGCATGCATACTCAATGCACACTCATCCCAGCAAGCTTCATGCCCTTCCAATGATCCGCCTCCGCCAGACGCTTGGTGAAAATATCTGCTGCCTGCTGATGGGTCTTCACTATCTCCAGCCGCACCTCCTTATCAAGGAGTCTCCTCACCCAATGCCACTTAGGCCTTATGTGTTTTGTCAGCCCATGCAGACAAGCATTCTTGGCGAGCTTCACAGCGGACTCATTGTCACAAAACACAACTGTCGGCTTCTCCTGACCAACTCCCAACTCCTCCAACAAACGCCTTAGCCACACTACTTCCTTGGCCCCATGGTGTAAGGCCATGTACTCAGTCTCACATGAGGACAATCCCACCTCATTCTGCTTCTTGCTGCGCCAGCTCACAGCACCACCTCCTAGCAAGCACACATAACCCCCAATGCTGGTGCCATCCGCTTTCACTGAGTTGAAGCTAGCGTCAGTATAGCAACTCAAGAGCATCTCTCCACTCTTCACATCTGCAGCACCTCTCTGCAACCGCTGCCTCACTCCACTGTACTCCAATCCCACTGATGCCGTAGCGCTCACATAGCGGACCAACCTCTTGGCCGCTTCCAGCTGCTCATGACTAGGGCGTGAGACCACACTAGCCAATCGTGATGTAGCAAATGCAATGTCAGGCCGTGTATGATTTGCAGCATAATTCAGCGACCCAACCATCGAATGAAACAGCTTCCTGTCACTATCACCCACTACCTCCTCATCAGCACATGGCTCCACAGTAAACCCTGAAGGTAGTGGTGTTGCTGGCTTTCCCCCATCTTGCAGCCCATACTTCTCAGCCAGCCCCTCACAGTACTTCCTCTGGTGCAACCTCAGCACACCCTTTTCCACATCTCTCTCCACGTGCATCCCCAAGTAGTACTTCACCTCACCCATCTTGGAGCACTTGAACTGCATCTCCAGCATCTGCTCTGCGCTGTCCAGCAAAGCAGTTGATGCAGAAAAGAGAAGGATATCATCCACATACACCAAGAGCATGAGGATTTCATCCTTCTCCTGCAGCAGGAACAGGCTGGGGTCACACTCACTCTTCTTGAAACCCCCAGCCAACAGCGCCTCCTCCAACTTGTGATACCATGCACGAGGCGCCTGCTTAAGGCCATAGATGGCCTTCTTCAGCCTGCAGACCCTGCCGCTCCCGTCATCCAGCCCCTCTGGCTGCTTCATGTACACCTCCTCCATAATGATCCCATTCAGAAAAGCAGTCACAATGTCCATCTGCCGTATCTTCCATCCCAGGAGTGCAGCTATCGCTAACAGCACCCTCAGTGTTGTTCCTTTCCCCACAGGAGCAAACACCTCATCATAGTCCTTCCCTTTTGTCTGCTGAAACCCCCTTGCCACAAGCCTGGACTTGTAGCGGGTCAGCTCCCCTTCAGGTCCATACTTGTGCCTGTAGATCATCTTGGAAGTGATTGCCTTCTTTCCAGGAGGCAAGTCACACAGGTCCCATGTCTCGTTCTCAATTAGGGACCCGAACTCCTCATCCTCACTCGCCTTCCACTTCTCCCCATTTGGTCCATTCAAAGCCTCCTCTCGAGTCTTGGGCTCAGGGATTGGTGCCCAGTAGCAGTGAGCGATCTCATCTTCCTCAATCTGCTCAACCACACTCCCAGCCTGCACCACATTTGGCTTGCCTCTTCCCCCATAGGTCAGCCTCACTGGAGGGCGCACATCCCTCCTAGGACGCTCAGGCGGGTGTGGAACTCGAGGTGGAGACTCATGCTGCTGCTGCTGCTGCTCTACTTCAGCTGCTCCCCCTTCCTCAGTCACCCCAGACATCTCCTCCTCTGACACTGCAACCTCCACCTGTCTTGAAGGGTGCTGCACCTCATCTGCCTCCACAATGAGCGGTGTAGATGGAAGCTTCTGTTGCTGCTGCTTCCATTCCTTGTAGTACAGGGACTCAAGAAACTTCACATCCCTTGACACTGTCAACTTCTGGGTGGTCAAGTCCCATAGCAGCCACCCCTTGTGATCCTTTGCAATCCCCAAGTGCACACCCCATCTTCCAGAAGCCTCCAACTTCCCCCTTTTCTCCTTAGGCACATGAAACACCACCATGCACCCAAATGCCCTCAGCATGTTCACAGCTGGAGCACTCCCATACCACTTGACGTATGGGATCCACTCCTTATCTCCAACTGTAGCCAGCACCCTGTTCTTCACAAGGGCGACCTGCCTCAGTGCAGACACCCAAAACGGATCAGGCAGCCCTGCACGCCCAAGGAGAGTGCGTGCCCCCTCCTGCAGGGTCCTGTTGAACCTCTCAGCCACGCCATTCTGCTGCGGGTTGTAGGGCACTGTCAGTTGATGCTGGATCCCCTTCCTCTTCAACTCCCCCTCAAAATCAGCTCCAATGAACTCCCCACCATTGTCACTGCGGATCACCTTCACCTTGTGTCCGCATTCCCTCTGAGCTCTAGGCATCCACTCCTTAAGGACAGCCGCTGCCACCTCCCCCTTGCTCTTCAAAGGGTAAACCCACACTGCCCGAGTGTGGTCATCCACAATTGTCAAGAAATAGCGGCTGCCTGAGAGGGAAGGGGCTCTTGTGGGCCCCACCACATCCATGTGCACAAGTGCAAGTGGGGTCTTGGCTGGTCCTGTAGTGCTGTTGAAGGGGAACTTGGAGAACTTGGTCTCCAAGCATGTAGGGCAGCTCCCAATCTCCTTCACTTCCCCTTTCACCTCCAAGCCCTTCAGGCTCCCATTCTTCACCAACTTCTGCAGCATAGGGAAGTTCACATGACACAACCTCTCATGCCATGTCTCCCAATCGGCCTCTCCACTCCTTGATGAAGCCTTAGCCCATGCCGCACTCGCATCCACACCAGCAAGCACCTCACCATGTGTCTGCTGCTGCTGCACTTTCTTGACTGCTTCCAGGACCCCATCAGTTGGTGCAGTTGCATCTCCTCCTGCTGTTGCCTTTGCCACTGCTGCCGTTGCTGCTGTTGGAGTCTTCCCATTCCAAGGGATGATGGGCAGCTGCCACAGGTCCTTGATGCAGCTGGTCTCCTCTTCCAGACTCCACAGCACCTTCTTCCCAAGCTTAGCACGGCAGCTGGTTGGTCCAAAGGTCACTTCGGCCTTACTCTTCTGCAGCCGCCGCACAGAGAGAAGGTTAGCAGACAAGCCTTTAACCAGCAGAACATTCCCAAGCCCCACAAGCTCCCCATTAGCTCCCTTAACCTTGGCATTCCCAACACCAATCACGGGGAGCAAAGCACCTGACGCTGCTGCCACATACTTGATCTTCCCAGGGGGTTTTACCTCATCAAGCAAATCTGCCCGTGGGGTCATGTGACTGGTGCAACCCTGAATCAATCACCCAGTGCGTGAGAGGGTGCATCACAACCTTTCCCACAGATCCCACATCACCCTCATGCCCATGCACATCCTCAACCATAAGAAACATCCCAGGATAGGCATTACCTTGTGCACCTTCACCTTGTGCACCTGAGCCTTGCACAGCACCACCTTGTGCGCGTTCACCACTGGGCGGCTTCATGCCTGGAGGTGCCCATCCCTCCGGCCTGCTGAAGCACTTGAACCAAGGATGCCCGACCTTCTTGCAGTACCAGCAGGTGCCCTCCATTCTGGTACTCCCCCTGCCACTGGAGCTCCCATGCCCCTCATTATAGTCACCTCGGCCTCTACCTCTGCCAAAGCTTCTCCCACGGCCTCGGCCTCTCCAACCCCCTCTTCCTCTGCCGCGCCCTGCAGCTCCATACCCCTCAGCAGTCTTAGTGGCAGCACCGCCTCCCACATGGCGTCTGCGGAAGTCCTCCTGCAGAATCTGCTGCCTTAGCCACTCAGGTGTCCATTGATCTTGCTGAGAGTTGAGGGTGGGGATGAGGTTGTCCCAAGAGTTGTCCAACACCGAGATGATCTTGGTGCACTGCTGCAGCTGAGATACACTACTGCCCGCTGCTGCCATCCTTGCATAGGTGTCCTTGATCTTGTCAAGGACCGGCTTCACATCGTCCCCTGGTCGCATGGAGATGGCAGCAAGTTCCTTCTCGAGCACGATCACCATTGGGAGAGTGTTGGGCTGAATCACATCACGTAGTAGTTTCCACGCCCTTGGACCCGAATCATCCGCTTCCACAAGATCCTTGATGTGCTCGAACATCTCCTTGTTGACCGATTGAAGGATGAGGTCGAAAAGCACCGCGCTTTTCTCAATCCACCGTTCGCGTGCTTCGCCTTCTTCCGGCATCTTCTCTTCCCCAACAGCAATCTTCAGTAGCTTGTAGCGTTTGAAGGCACTCCTCATCCGTCCGCTCCATTCCTCATAGTTGGAGCCATCCAAAGCTTCAACTTTTGATGGCGGCGGCTCACTTGTCTTCTCAGCTACAGCTCCTCTTCCATTAGCATCTCCTCCTCTCTCATTCATCTTCTCCTTGAGAAATGACGAATTTCAGCTCCCCTTTGCTGTCCACACTCAGCTCCCTCGATATTTTCACAAGTATCGGCGTCCACGAAATTTCGGCAGAGTTTCCCCTTAGCGGAAGACACATCCAACCTTTAGAACACCACTTAGGCACACCCACAGGCCATGGTGGGTCTAGAAGGGTCTTCACACTTCTGTAGACTCCTCTCAATGTCCTTAATATGGCTCTGATACCACTTGTTAGGATTAAGGACGGAGTCTAGGTGAACTTAGGAGCTAGAATTACTCAAAATATAAATCCGAAATTCTGGACAGAAAAGTCGTCTTCACAAGAAACGACGTCGACAAACAACTAGCCGTTGGAATGTCGCGAAACTTGGATATGTTGTAGCTCTTAATCTCAGCTACCGTTCCCAATTTGAATCATGTTGATTGATAAAGTATTCGCGACGCTATGGCTTTCGACGCACTAGGGGGTAAGCTGTAGGAGGAGAACTTAACTCAATCTCAAAGGTTCAATCAAAGTTCAAGAATCTCACAAGGAATTAGAAGGAGCAAGAGAAAGGTTGGGATAGGAAGAGAGGGATGAGAGGGAAGGTCCCAAGAGAGTCCCCAACCAAGGAAACCCCATAAGCACAAAGATTCCCTCCCTATAGGAACCCCAACTTTGACATTTGTCCCTTCCCAACCAATCCATCCAAGTTGGCCACCCTTGCCAACCTAGCTTGGTTGTTCCCAACCAATTTGCAGCTGTTACAGTGAGTGACAAATTTCCCAAACCCCCAAAGGTCCCAACTCCATATAGAGTCACCCCACAACTTCACTTTGTAACCGCCGCAATTGTAACGCAAGCTCATGAACTTTGAATCTTCATAGCTTTCGCGTTCTTGCTCCGATTGAAGGGATTCTCGTTGCGTCGGAAAGATCTTCTCAAGATCTATCATCACAAAAAACCTGCTCAAACAAAATAACACAAAACACATTCCCAAACTCCAGAACACATCACACACAAATTCTTGCACACGTTCAAACCACACATGCAAGTTGAAAAAATATGGGATGGGAGGCAGACAGAATGTGATAGCATATGATGACATCACACAACAGTTTGCCTATGGTCGGCTTGGCCGGTTCTGCCGTGCGGAGGGCATCACCTAGTCGTACACCCTGACGGACTCCCCACCGGGTCTCCTGGTGAAGCGTCTGCGTTCCACGTCTGGGGATGCCTCGCTCACATTCGTGCCTCTGGCACGGACAAGCTCACTGCCCGCACTATCCTGTGTGTCTTCCTTGGTTTCCCCCTTGACTCGTCTAACTGGCACTTTTACCACCCGCCGTTTCACCGCTTCCATTATTCGCGTGACGTCACTTTCGACGAATTTGTCTCCTTTTACCGTCGCTTTCCCCACTGAGGTCTCCCGGTTTCCCCACCCCTGTTTCTGGTTCCCACTCCCCCGGTAGCCCCTGCTCCCCTCCCTCTCCGTCCTGCTCTGTCTGGTGTCTCTCACATCACTCCCCTCCTGTTGGTGGTCCCGGTTGAGGAGTCGGTTGACTCTAGGTGAAGGAGAGCGCGGTAGCAGCGACAGAGGTTGGAGGAGCTAGGGAGGACCCAAGGCTAAACAAGGCAGGGGATCTTATGCCTGACGCAGCAGGGGAGCCTGAACTAGGCACACTAGGCACACCTACTCTAGGCAACACAGGGTAATAGGAACCAGTCACACTAGAGTCATCGAGATACAGTACATACAAAGCAGAGCTAATCTCATCCATGTTCATATCAAAGATCTGAACACCACGACGGAGCAGACTGTGCCAGTCAGGGAGGTCAGGTGACGGGCCGAAGCGGAGACGAAACAGGTCGTCTAGGCAACAAAAGCAACGAGAGGGGGTATGGCCGGTCTTACCATACACGAGGCCGCAGCGAGGACCGGTCTGAAGCTGGTACTGGCAGCGCCCGTCACTCTGACCACCACCCGCCGCTGCTGCTGCTGCTGCTGCTACTGCGGCGGCTGCTGGTGCTGCTGCGGGTGCCGCGGGTGCTGCTGGCGAGCCACATCCACCACCGGCACCACCCTCTCCTCCGCTACCTCCGCCGCGCCCAGCCTTGGGGCGGCGACCCTTACTTGGACGAAACTGCACTGCGGCGGCTGTCTCCGCATCCGGAGCTGTCCTTAGCGACCGCAGCAGAGCCGTCAGAGTAAGTGCACTGAGCAGGGGCACAGCCCTGAAAGATAGGGACCGGCATGGTACCGCTACACTAGGCAATAGAGCGCTAACGAGTCTCTACGGCAGACAGGGTATCGACAAAGTCAGGGAGGGTGAGATCAGCGGGGTGGAGACTAAGGAAGTGATCGCGGGCGGTGGCAAGGCGGTCAGGGAGGCGGGTGGCAAGCAGGTAGAGGGTAGAGCAGATGGGGGGCTGAAACACACGAAGCTGGGCCTCAGTGCAGGCAACGCTCCAGGTCGCGTCTAGGTGGGCGGCCAGGTCAGCGATAGTAGGGAAAGATGCGAGATCAGGAAAGAGCATGGGCAGGATCAGGCGACCGACGGAGGCAGAGGGCGGGGTGGAATAGCGGGCGACAACAACCTCTAAAAACTCCTGCGCAATCCTGACCGACCTAAAGCGGGGGCGCTCGGATAGAGGGAGGGCATGACTAATTGCAAGCTGTGCGACAGCGTCACGCGACAACCAGACAGCACGGGCAAGGGCAGCAGCAGCAGCGGACTCACGGTCAGCAGACGTGGGTTCGGCGGGTAGAGCAGCAGGGGGGTCCGGGCAGGGGAGCGTACTGTCGATGTGGATGGCCAGGGAGTGGCCATCCTGCTGCTAACCTGTCAGATGTCGTTGGAGGTCGACGAACCACGAGTCGAACTCAATCGGCTGCCCCTCCGCATCAAAACGCAGGACCGAGTCCGCCATCATGGTCGCTGCAGCAGCGGAAAGGCGGTACTGAGCAGTTTGGTGCGGCGGAAAACGGTGATGTGCAGTGCAGCGTTGTACAGCGCGGTGCAGTGCGGTGCAGGGCGGTGGAATGCGGTACAGTGTGGTATAGTGCGGTGCAAAACGGTGCAGAGCGGTGTAGTGCGGTGCATTGCGCTGCCGGGCGGTGCAGCGCGGTGCAGAGGGCCGAGGACGGCGGCAAGGCGTCTGGGAGACGAGGCCGCAGGCGGCGAGGCAACGGGGTCGGCTAGGCGTGGAGGTGACAGGGCCGGCTGGCTACGGGCGGCTAGGCGACAGGGTCGGCTAGGAGACCGGGCTGGCGAGATGGCTAGGCGACGAGGCCGCGGGGCCGATAGGTGACGGGGCCGCAGGGCCGCTAGGTGACAGGGCCGCGGGGCCGCTCGGGGACGGGGCCGCGGGGCCACTAGGTGACGTGGCCGTGGGGCTGCTAGGTGACGGGGCCGCGGGGCCGCTAGGTGATGGGGCCGCGGGGCCGCTCGGGGACGGGGCCGCGGGGCCGCTAGGTGACGGGGCCGCGGGTCCGCTAGGTGACGGGGCCGCGGGGCCGCTAGGTGACGGGGCCGCGGGGCCGCTAGGCGACTGGGCCGCGGGGCCGCTAGGTGACGGGGTCACGGGGCCGCTAGGTGACGGGGCCGCGAGGCCGCTACTTGAGAGGGCCGCGGGGCCGCTAGGGGACGGGGCCGGCACGAGCGACGAGGCGGCTAGGACCTATGGCGGAAGCGCTGGTGGGCGGGGGGGACCTAACCTATTCATGATACCATATCAAGGTGAACGAATGACTAGAACAGTGACATACAAGGGAATATAACCTAATGGGTTGTACTCCCTAAGGCACAACCCTATATAGTCTATAACAATATACAATATATGTTTGACATGGTACACAAAATCAATACTAAAAATAAGAGAATCAGAGTAATCTAGGGCGAATTCCTACAAAGTAGGATCAGAATCAGAAACACGAAATTCATTCTTGATCCAGTTGCCCGGTCTTCAACGCTAAGATCAGAAACGATGGTGCCACCATAGCGTCGCACAGGGACCTCCGATTGGCTGCCCCTACAAACACATTCGGGACAGCACCCAACGAGCGCTAAGCAAGCGACGCGTGGCATAAGCGTGCCGACGTGCGACGTGCAACGAAGCGGAACTCTAAAAAGCATAAAACCCACATACGGCATGCGACGAGCACAAAAACGAATTTCGTTTGTGTTTCTGCTGGCTTCAAATTTCGGTATGTGAATTCCTTTGCTCGTGATTGGAGCACACGTTTCCCCCCAGTCTGGTTATGCGTGCAGGGTCCTCAACATCAAACAAAATCCGTATGTTTGTCTGATTTTAGGCGTTCATCTGATTCTCATACTTTTCTTTAGGCGTTCATCTGATTTGTTAGAAACCCAATTATTGAATTTTTAATGCCCTGGAAAGTGATTTTGTATCCTTCTGATATTTCAGATTGGGTGTACATGTTCTTCTGGGCGAAATTTCTCATCTGAAGCCGATCTCTGTAGGTTGTGTGAGGGCCTTGATTGGCCCTTAGACAAAATGACCACCCGATACAGTAACTACTTGAGGGGGTGTGAGTGGCGCCAACAGGGACTTCAACAAAATTATCGCCTTATGAAGGGCCAATTAGCGCCCTCACAACAACCCCAATGCGTGCTGGAGGCTGTCAGAGTTCGCCAGTTGGCCAGATCAGCAGCACGTGATGTGCAGCATACTGGAACTCGTGTTGGGGAGGGGGGTCGCGGGGGCTAGAGCTAGTTGACCCTCGCCAATGTGCGTGAACGTAAGTGCGAGGTTTCCAGGGTAACGAGTCAGGGTCACGGCCTCAGGGTCAAATGTTCAGGGGTTGCAAAGAGATTTAGTGCAATTCAACAGGTGTTCGAAAAGAGTTTAGTTCGGTGAAGCGTAATCATTGAGCCGTGACCCTGCTGCGACCGTGACCCTTGTCCTCATGTACCCCGCCCTAACTTGCGAGGGCATTGCCCCCGCCTGCCCCATTCAATTTCAATCTCCCCCCCTCCCCTCACCCCCCCCCCCCCCCCCCCCCCCACCTCACACAGGGTTCTTCTCGCTAGGGCCCTCCCGTTTTCCCGCGCCCGCAGGTCTGATTTACTGTATCGCCTTGGCAGACATTCATCCCATCCCACCAATCGGAACCTCTCGCGACCCCCCAACCCTTCTTTCGCGCGTGCCCCAGCTGCCCAAGGACTTCGGGCACTAGGAAGCGTACTCAAAAGTTGGACGTGGAGGCTAATATGGCCCTTGTAGTTTAGCTTAGAAAATGAAATTACCGTATTCTCCCGGATATAGTACCTTAGGGAGCTAATAAAAATTCATGAAAATTTTGGGGTGTGTGGAATTAAAGGCAAAAAATATGTAACACCATGGTTCTATGGAACGTGTATATGCGCTTTTCAATTCCAAAATAGTTGTGCATGTTACACCACTTTGTTTTGTGTCGCATATCAACATCTCGTGTCCTCATCGCATACCCTACAGTGTAGCTCTTCTGCTTCCCCCTTCGTCAGCTAAACTAGTAGAGTCAAGGACGAGGCTGGCAAAGTAGCCAATCAACGAGTGCTGCAGGCCTCGTCCTTGCTGCCTCCAATCAGTGGGTGGCAGCGGAGGTTTGTTTTGGCGGGAGGGCGCGAGAGTCGAGAATGAACAATTTGGATTCCGAGGTTTCAATTTTTTTTATTTTTTTTTTTTTATTTTTTTTTTTTTTTTCCGTTCGGACACATTCCGCACGCAACTATGCACAGCAAATTCTGTTGTTCCTTGTCGAAATAAGGATTCTAGGTGGTGGGGGGTGTTCAATTGTTTTCAAGCCCAAAAGTAGGGTGGTAACTAGATCCAATTTAATTAAACACCCCAGGCCCCCAAATTGGTTTTGGGTCTGTCTGATTCGTCAGAGTCCACTGCCTTCCCTTGGTATGGGTGTCAGAGTTGCCTCCTTGAAAAGGTCTGAAAAATCAGAGTAGCCTTCAATTTTTTGTCTGACCAATCAGAGTCATAGCCAAACTTTTGTATGAGCCTTTTTTATGGTTCTTGATAAGAGAATGCACATTATTTCACTACATACACGAAATCAATCGATATCCTGCATATCCTGGTGAGGCGTTGCCGGCATATCATCATCTACTTTCTCATTTCCCTTCCTGCTGCTACAAGCCTCGGGGAGGGCGTTGCTAAGGGGCTTCCTCTTCTTATAAGCCCGCCAGATGGTGACCACCTCTTGCCAGTCGGGGTCATACTCTAGCTGCGACATGCACATCAGATCTCCTAGCCTAGTATCCTTGAAAGCCCCCCGCAGCCAACTCTTGATGACGTTCTGGCGGGAGAACCCGCGCTCGCACTCGACAGTGCTCAACGGAAGGACAGCCACCGCCACCCACAAGTTGACCAGGTTGGGGTAGCTGTCCCTCCAGTCCTGCGTCTTTAGCATGGCGCTCAGCCCCGCGTGGAATGACCTGTCCGCCTTGGGAAGCGCAGCAAGGACGGGAACGAAGTTGCGGAGCTCGCTCTGGGCTTTGCGCTTGTCTATACCTGATCAGACAAGGGCACACAACACAAGGAAACGGAGGAGGGTTGGGTTATCTGAATCACTACACAAGGTTTACGAAAAGACATGTGTCTTGTTTCATATCATATACATGCGAGAGGGATACTGAAAGGAGTAAACAAATTTACCTGGCAGAGTTTCGTCCCTGTCTTCAGCGCGGTAGATGATGACGAGCGAATTGAACCACTCGAGGCACTGCGTCCTCCGTGCGTGTCGGTCCCAGTTGGGCGGCCATGTGTCGACGCTGAACAGGCGCGCTCCCGACAGCTGCCGCAGATCGCCTAGGCGCTCGTCGAGGTTGCGGACCAGGCCCTCCGCTAGAGCCATGCACGCCACGACACTCCCATCGTGGTCGCTGGGCCCCGGGTAGTCCTCTTGGGGCTCTTCGTGCAGCTCGAAGGTGAACCTGGAAGGTCGGCCATCGGAGTCAATCCCCTCCACTGTCACTAGCTTGGACTTGCAGGGCCCGTGCTTGGCGAGGAACCGCGTCAATCGATCGTTGGGCCCGCCGGTGAAGTCGTCTCCGCAGTCCACGTAGCGGCTCTCTAGCAGCGAGGTCGTGCGGATGATCTGCGCGTGCACCGTTGTGTAGTCCAGCTGGTGGGTAGGGGGGCGAGGAAAGCTAGGGCATCACAGAGGGATGTGTGGTTAAGGGACGAGCGGCAGAGACGAGCAACATCGACATGCATGCAAACACAAGCATTAAACATATTTACTTCCCGCTGCTGAAAGACCTTGTTGAGCACGTTCAGCAGCTCGAGCACGTCGGCGAGGAACATCAGGAGGAGCCAAAAGCGGTAACTGGTGACGAGCGCGTACAGCTTGGGGTGGTACTCCTGCAGCATGACCACGATGGCTGGTAGGACCTCGACCAGGCGGATGACAGCATCTCCGCGCGACAGCCAGCGGATGTTGTGGATGCCCTAGAGCTCGAGGTTCGTCGACATGAACACCTCCTGGAGCTCCAAGAACCGTTGATGCCAAGGGTTGGAGCGACCGAGCAGCTCAGCGATCTCGCGAATGATGTTGTCTACCATGCTGAAGACATGGATCTCCTCAGCAGCAGCCTTTGCCGCCAGCGCCTCTCTGCGTGGGATAAGGGGATGAGATGCAAAGTAGGAAGCAAATTAGCGATTGGAATTATAAACAACACAAGCAAATAAACATGACATGCACACAGCAAACGGTTGACGAACCGATGGGCAATGCAATGGCAAGAGACAAGGTGCGGAACGCGAAGACGAAGGCGGGCCACAAGTCCAGAGCGCGCTCCCATCATGACGGCAGCGCCGTCAGTGCTAATGCCAGAGATGCGGCCGAGGTCGACGCCAATCGCCTGCAGATGGGACAACAAGAGGGCGAGTAGCGATGCCGCATCCGCCTTCTCCACCGTCAACAGAGCCAGGTGCTCGGTTACAAGCCGCCCTTCCCGGATGAACGTGGCAAACACGATCATGTGCTTGCCACGGCAGCGATCGGTGCTTTCGTCGAGGCTCAGGCCAATGTAGGGACTCGCCAGCAGGTGTTGGAGTTGAGTCGTTTGCAGCCACGTGGCCGTCGCTTGTGTCAGTTCGCCGAAGCCGTACCTGTTACATAACACGCACAGTGCAAGTTGTTGTAAGTTTCATATCTAAAGACGAAACATAGCGAAGTTCATAGTCACTGGAGTTCTCACCAGTTATAGTACGTGCCGTAGGCAGACTTCGGGAAGCCCTTGAAACTGTGCGAGGAGAGGTATCGCACCAAACGAATCCAAGTTTCCATGGGTTCGTTACACTTGGCGCAGAAGTAGAGGGAGTCGAGCAGCGCGATGACTCGCTCCTTCTCTTCGTCGGCCGCGCGGGGATGCAGGTCGATCCGCTGCTGGTTAGACGCCTGTTGCAGGAGATCGTCCTGCTTGGACATGGCGAGGCGATGCTTTTGCGTTCCGGCGTGCTTCTTGAACGACTGGGTCTGCACGTCCTTTGCTCCCTTGCCCGATTTGCCGGTACGCCCTGTAGGTCCTGCATGCACTTCGCATACACTACACTTGAAGGCCGGGAGCCCATCATCAGTTTTCAAAAGCATGAGCCAAGAGAATCTGTCAGACCAGCGAGATTTGAAACGCTCTTGTGCCTCAGCATAGATGTCCTCGTTTGTTCTAGCAGTGGACCTACCGCCAGACGATTCTGGCAAGTCCGCATGTACAAAGGGGCTCGGCACAGTCTCAGGCGGATCCTGGCATGTCGACGTTGAGGCGTACGGCAGAATCACCTGCCTGTACCAGAACCTCTTCGCCGCCGTCACCGACGGCGTGGTGCCGACGACAGGAGCTGAAGCAGTGGGCAGGGGGCTTGCATCCGCAGACTTCTTGCCCGCTGCATCGGGAACAGGTGCATCGCCATCAGCATGGGCAACGTCACCAGGCTTCCTCTGAGGGCTACGATCTGAAGCATCCGACTGCCGCAGGAACTTTAGTGCGGCCGAACCATCGCGGAAATTCTCGGCACACCAGTACTCTTCGTCTAGTTCGGAATCAGAGTACACCCGCAAAAAAACTCTGAAAAAGTCTGAATCAGAGTAAAAAGTCTGCAATTTGGGGGCCTGACACCCATACCCGCTCAAGCCACCCATGGGAGCTTAATTCCGGCGGGTACTGTACCCGGGAGAATACGGTAGGAACTTCTTAAGGTCTAGAAAATTCATTATGATTCCTCTGATTTTTCAGAAACTGGAAATTTCTGGAGGGCCCGTCTGATGACCTAGAAAGTGCCTAGAGCCTAGCGAGAGCCCTGTATGCGTGGCGAGGAGTTCGCAACTGTACTGTAAACTTGCGTATTCAAGTCTGGGCAGTCGAAGTGAATTTTGTGCTGAAAGTGAGGCATGTACACGTAGGATCATGCAAAGTATCCAGGTTCCCACGCGAAATTCACTTGCGATCGCTTGACAGAATTGATGATCCGCATGCAGTAAAACGGCAGGATCAGAAACCTACTTCATAGGAATTCGCCCTTACTCGTGAAAAATAGGCACTGGTCGACACGTAGAAAAAAACATAATTACCGTACTACGCTGTTCATATCCCACCATCTTTCGACAAGACCCATATACAAAACACAACAAATGCCATGGCTCCTGTGACCTGTCCATTCCAGTTCATGCATAATCCTGTTCATCTCTGACCCTCACTGCCTGTTCAACCGTGTTCATACAAGCCCCTGCATTTGTGCCTTGTTCAATGGAGTGGCTGCGCTGCCTGCTTGGCCCTAGCAGAGGTGCACTTGGCCATGGTGACTGATGCCCGCGAGATGGCATCCGTCATGTAGAAATTGGGCACCTGGAAAGAACGGGAGATGAGAAGATGTGATAAGAGGGGTCAGGGGATGACAGAAAATGGAGTGTGAGAACAAGGGACGCAAGGCCTATTGAGCTATGGTGACTGATGCTCCTGCGATTTTGTGGGTGTATGTAAGAAACAGGGATGTGGAGGAGGACAATAGAAGGACAGAAAGAGGAGAGAAGGACGCGAGCAAAGAGGAACGGAAAGAGGAGTCCCGGGCCTTGGAGCAGTCTAAAGGAAAACAACACAGAGCCATCCATCACTCACCGGCAGCTCCAAGGGTGCGATCCATCACTCACCGGCAGCTCCAAGGGTGCGATCCATCACTCACCGGCAGCTCCAAGGGTGCGATCACTTACCGGCAGCTCCAAGGGAGCAATCACTTACCGGAAGCTCCAAGGGCGCGATCACTTACCGGCAGCTCCAAGGGTGCGATCACTTACCGGCAGCTCCAAGGGTGCGATCACTTACCGGCAGCTCCAAGGGCGCGATCACTCACCGGCAGCTCCAAGGGTGCGATCACTTACCGGCAGCTCCAAGGGTGCCATCACTTACCGGCAGCTCCAAGGGTGCGATCCATCACCCACCGACAGCTCCAAGGGTGCGATCCATCACTCACCGGCAGCTCCAAGGGTGCGATCCATCACTCACCGGCAGCTCCAAGGGTGCGATCCATCACTCACCGGCAGCTCCAAGGGTGCGATCCATCACTCACCGGCAGCTCCAAGGGTGCGATCCATCACTCACCGGCAGCTCCAAGGGTGCGATCCATCACTCACCGGCAGCTCCAAGGGTGCGATCACTTACCGGCAGCTCCAAGGGTGCGATCACTTACCGGCAGCTCCAAGGGCGCGATCACTTACCGGCAGCTCCAAGTAGGCATGAGCAACGAGGCGAGGATTTCCTCGCATCGGAAATCCTCGCCTCGAAATTCCGGGGGTCGAGGCAGGATTTCTGGGAAAAATCCTAGCGAGGAATCCTCGCCCCGCCCCGGCGAGGATTCGAGGCCTCGACTTTTCCTCGAGGCAAATGGGCGAGGATTTTGTATCCTTGCGAGGAAAACCTGGATAAGGCTCATTCTTCCCGCACATGTTCCCATTTCCCCCCCCTCCCCTAGACCCGCAGCCGCCCAGGTCAAGGAATCCTCGCCTTGGGTCAAGGAATTAATCCTCGAGGCGAGGATTTCAATCCTCGACCCCAAAACCCGGGGGTCGAGGGGGGATTTTCAAGAAAAATCCTCGGCGAGGATTCCTCGACCCGCCCCGGCTATGGCGCGGGGATGAGATCCTCGGGTCAAGGAATCCTCGCCTCGCCCCGTGCTCATGCCTGGCTCCAAGGGTGCAATCACTTACCGGCAGCTCCAAGGGTGCGATCACTTACCCGCAGCTCCAAGGGCGCGATCACTCACCAGCAGCTCCAAGGGCGCGATCACTCACCAGCAGCTCCAAGGGCGCGATCACTTACCGGCAGCTCCAAAGGCGCCTGGAGCACAGACCCGTGCGCCCGATGCACCATGGATTCTGTGCTGAGGGCGAGGGGAGCCTCCACCTCGTCGATGCGGGCGAGATGGGGCGCCACCTGATGAGGGAAAGGAGGGGGAGCAAGCGGAGAGTGCGCGGGTAGGGAGACGAAGGACAGGGGAAACAGGCGTTGGGGAAAGAGGGATTCCACCTCGTCGATGCCCGCAACATGGGGCGCTACCTGATGAGGGAAGGGGGATGGGGCGGGAGGCGCAGGGGGGAGGATGGAAGGAGGGGAGGAAGTGGGGGGGAGGGGGAAAGATGTGGGAGAAGAGAGCTGAGCTTCCATCTCGTTGATGCAAGCACGATGGGGAGGTACCAAATGAAAGGGGGAAGCCAAGGGGGGGAGGACATGCAGGAGGAGAAGCACATGATGGACGAATGCAGTACAATGTGGTGCGAATGCAGTACGATCCGGTGTGAGTGTTCACCAAAGATGGGAAGTGTGGAGGACCGCGCATCTTTGGTCCTCACTCACAGCGCATTGGAGGAAACAAGGAAGGTGATCCCTGGTTGGCAAATGACCAGGGGTGGATGCATCGTCACATTGGGTCATCCGCCAGCCCCACTGTTCTCCAAATATAGCGCTCGCACTAACATTTTTCTGAGGAAACATTTCTCCCTCTCAACCTCTGCCCTAGGACACTGCCCTAAGACACTGCCCTAAGACACTGCCCTAAGACACTGCCCTAAGACACTGCCTTAAGACACTGCCCTAAGACTCCGTAAGACAATGCAGTACCTCCCTAAGTCCTTCAAGTTACCCCTTGCAGCCTCTCCCTGACTTGCTCCACCGTGCCATAGGGCAGAGCCGCCCCCACCACTTCACACACAACTCGCTCCCACAATGCTGCATCTTAATTCTCTCCTACGAGATTCATGTCTCTTCCTCATATCCCCACGTTGTTTGGGCCCTACCTCTCTCAGCCGCTCCCTGCCTTGCTCCACAGTGACATAGGGCAGAGTCACCCCCCCCGCCCCCACTTGAGAGATCACCCTCACCATGTTACTGCTGCTTAATCCTTCAGTTTTGAGGCGCCTCAAAACTACACTTAAGAGATCACCCTCACCATGTTACTGCTGCCTAATCCTTCAGTCCTTTCAGCACCCTACCTCTCTCGCCACTACCCTACCTCTCTTCTCACTCCCTTACCTCTCTCGTCCCTCCCTTTCCTCTCTCGGCCGCTCCCTGACTTGCTCCACAGTGCCATAGGGCAGAGCCAACCCCACCACTTCATCAGGTTATCACTCCCTTCTCCGTCAGACTCGCCAGCACCCTTACCTCTCTGACCCTCTCCCTGAATTGCTCGACTGTGCCATGGGGCAGCGTCACCCCCGCTACTGCAGACACAGTACCCCTTGACGCACCCCCAAACCCCAAAGAGACTACCTTTCATAAAGTTACCCCTCTTTCCCCACACCCCTACCTCTCGGACCCTCTCCCTGACTTGGTCCACAGTGCTATAGGGCAGCGTCACCCCCGCCACTTCAGACACAGCTCGCACGATTGTCCAGTCGTCCCTCGCACCTCACAATCCCCTCAGACAATTGTCCTCCACCCCCCCACTGCCTCCCCCCCTTCCCCCACCCCCCATACCTCTCTGAGCCTCTCCCTGACTTGGTCCACAGTGCTATAGGGCAGCGTCACCCCCGCCACTTCAGACACCGCCCGCACAATCTTCCAGTCGTCCCTCGCACTCCCCACTGTCGGCACGGCTGCTTGCGTCATCTGCACTCGCCCCTCCGTATTAACATATGTGGCTTCCTGTGGGCGGGTGAGAGGACAGGGGAGGAGATGAGAGACGGAGAGGAGGCACGGAGTCGAGGAGGAGTGGCGGAGATGACAAAGAGGGAGAATCGGAGCACCCTTCTCAACCACTCCCCACCGTCGACACGCCTATTGTCCCATCTGCACCCAGCCCGCCGTGTTCAAATATGTGGCTTCCTGTGTTGCTTCCTCTGTGGCTTCCTGTGTGGCTTCCTCTGAATTTCTGCTGGCAACACCCCTCCGATCATTTCACCTTCTCAGGGTACACAAGCAGCCCCCCCCCCAGCAGCACCACGTTAGCCCTGCACGCCCCGCGGTCGCGGTGGTGCCCGTGGTGGTGCCCCTGGTGGTGCCCGTGGTGGTGCATGGCAAGCACGCCAATCGCAAGAGGCACCAGGCTGAGACATCTTAGCCTCGCCTTTTCAGAGTAAGCAGCGCCTGGCAGCCCCACGTTAGCCCTGCACGCCCCACGGTCGCGATGGTGCCCGTGGTGGTGCCCCTGGTAGATGACCAAGACGCCCGACGGCGTGCAGCAAACACCATCCTGAGCCACCTGCCTTGGGCTCACCGTCTCTCGTCTCACCTTCTCAGGAAGGACAACATTGGCCCGGCTCGCCCCGCGGTCAGCGTGGTGCGCCCCTGGTACATGGCAAAGGCAACTTCTCTGACTCACCTTCTCACTGTAGGCAGCACCCGGCAGCAGCACCACATTGGCCCGGCTGGCCTTGCAGCCGCCGTGGTGCTCCTGGTAGACGACGAAGGCATCTGATGACGGGATGCACGGGTGTGTGCGTGCACAAGCATCCCTCCCTCTACACTTCGCACAAGCATCCCTCCCTCTACACTTCGCACCTCCTCTCTCCTCACCTTCTCAGTGTAGGCAGCACCCGGCAGCACCACATTGGCCCGACTCGCCCCGCGGTCGCCGTGGTGCCCCTGGTAGATGACGAAGGCGTCTGAGGGGATGTCCGCCTCTGCTATGTCGTCCGCGCCCAGAAGATACACCACCTTGGGGGGCTTGCTGCAGGGGGGAGAGGTGAGGCGGGGGCGGGGGGGGGGGGGGGCGGGGGGGAGGGGGGAGAGAGTGGAAAGAGGGAGAGGAGAAGAAGTGGCCTCATATAAGCTCAGCAGTGCCCCTGGTAGATGACCAACGCGTCTGAGGGCATGTCCGCCTCTGCTATGTCGTCCGCGCCCGGCAGATACACCACCTTGAGGGGCTTGCTGCAGGGGGGAAGGCGGGGCGGGCGGGGGCGGGCGGGGGCGGGAGGGGACCCGGGGGGGGGTGGGGGAAGAGTGGAAAGATGGAGAGACGAGGAGTGGCATCGCATGAAGAGTACAGCGCCCCTGGTACACTGTTCCAGTCACCAACGCGTCTGACGGCATGCCCGCCTCTGCCATGTCGTCCGCGCCCAGAAGGTAGACCGCCTTTGGGGGGGGGGGGGGGAGAACGAGGGGGAGGATGGAGGGAGGGAGGGGGAAACATATCACCTTTGCCTCTGCAAAGTCGTCAGCTTCTAGTAGACATACTGCCCTGGGGAGCTTGCTGCAGGGTGGGGGGGGCAAGCAGGAAGCATAAGAAGCAGTGACATTGCAGAACAGAATCCCATCTAGGAGTGTCACCTGGACAAGGTAGCCTCAGCACTGGGCACGAAGCCAACATCCAGCGCCGTAACTCGTCCCCAAAGGATGACGGGGGGGTGAGAGGGCGGATGAGGGACGGCAGGAAAAGGAGAGGAAAAGGACAGGAAAAGGGGAGGAGAAGGGGAGGAAAGGGGCAGGAAAAGGGGCAGGAAAAGGGGAGGAAAGGGGCAGGAAAAGGGGAGGACAAGGGGGTGTCACCTGGAGAGGGTGGCCTCAGCACTGGGCACGAAGCCGACATCCAGAGCCGCAACTCGGCCAGCCGTGAGGTGCAGGAGGTTGTAGCCGTTCCACCCGTCCTTCACCACTCCAGCCTGACAGCATGGCACAGGGCAGCAGGCATTGCAGGAGGGAAAGAGGAAAAGCCGTGAAGTGGAGGAGATTGTAGCCGTTCCACCCGTCCTTCACCACTCCAGCCTGACAGCATGGCACAGGGCAGCAGGCATTGCAGGAGGGAAAGAGGAAAAGCCGTGAAGTGGAGGAGATTGTAGCCGTTCCACCCGTCCTTCACCACTCCAGCCTGACAGCATGGCACAGGGCAGCAGGCATTGCAGGAGGGAAAGAGGAAAAGCCGTGAAGTGGAGGAGATTGTAGCCGTTCCACCCATCCTTCACCACTCCAGCCTGAAATCAGGACACGGGGCAGCAAGCAGTGTGAGGGGCAGAGCAAGTCGGTGCGAGGGAGAGAGGAACACGCGTGAAGTGCAGGAGGTTGTGACCGATCCCAACCCTCCATCACCATTCCAGCCTGAAAGCATGGCGCGAGACAGCAAGCAGGCGCGAGGGGCAGAGGAACAGTTGTGAGGGGCAGAGGAACAGTTGTGAGGGGCAGAGGAACAGTTGTGAGGGGCAGAGGAACAGTTGTGAGGGACAGAGGAACAGTTGTGAGGGGCAGAGGAACAGTTGTGAGGGGCAGAGGAACAGTTGTGAGGGGCAGAGGAACAGTTCAAAGGGGCAGAGGAACAGTTGTAAGGGGAAGCAAGCACAAGAGAGAGGACAGGAGAGGACAGCTGTGAGGTAGAGGAGATTGAAGCCGTTCCACCCGTCCCTCACCACTCCCCCAACCCCTTCCCACATCCTCACACCGTCACACACCCCTCTCTCTCCCCTCCATTCTCTTCCCAAAACTACCCATTCACAAATCTACCCATCACCCTCCCTCCATTCTCACATTCAGAATCCCCCCACCCTCATTCCCACTCCCCGTCCTCACTCCCTGTCCCCACCCTCGGCTCACAAATACACCCACCGCCCTCCCTCACATTCTCACACACCCTTACACAACCCCCGCTCGCACGCTCAATGCACTCACATTCAATGCGCATCGTCTGCACAGCAGCCAGCACCGTCTACCTGTCCGCCCGCCCCATAGGAGTCTAGATTTGAGGCGTCTCAAAACTACACAGCCCTCCCTCGCACGCTCAATGCACTCACATTCCATGCACATCGTCTGCACAGCAGACAGCACCGTCTACCTGTCCGCTCGCCGTATCACCCCAGCGCCCACCACCACCACCACTCCCCCCCCTCTTCCCCCACTCTCGTTAGACTCACATTCTCAACAATCGTCTGCACAGCAGCCATCACGGTCTCCCTGTCCGCCCGCCTCATCACCCCAGCGCCCACCACCACCGCCGGCCGCTTCGCCCGCGCCAGCGCCCCACAGAACGGGTGCCTCCCCTCCGCAATCCCCACCACCACATCCGCTCCCTGCCCTAGACCCTCACTGGGAAAGGTCAGATCCAGGGGCGGTCCCACGCTCGCCACCTTGGCCCGCCGGCCAATCACAGCCTTCCGCAGGCGGAGGTTAAGGAGCGGTGCTTCGCTCCGCGGATCCGTCCCGATCAGCAGCGCCACGTCAGCGTCCTCCAGGCCGGCCAATCCCGTGTTTGCCACGTAGGACGAGCGCAGGTCCGCGTCCACAACCCCTCCCACGTCTCCAGCCGCCGGCGCCGCCCAATCACCATCGTCCGCACGGAGATTATCGCACCCGAGCCTATTCATTAGGTCTTTAAGAGCCACTAGCGCCTCGGCATCCGCCAACCGCCCAGCCACAGCCTGCACCTCCTCCCCCTTAACTCCCACCAGCGCCTTAGCCGCCGCCTCCAGGGCTTCCGGCCAGCTGGCGACCTCCAATTGGCCGGTGATCTGACTCCTCACCATGGGGGCAAAGAGGCGCTGACGCTTAAGCCCGTCATAGGCAAACCTGCCCTTATCAGTCAGCCATTCCTCATTCACCCCCTCATTCAGCCTCGGGAGAATCCGCATCACCTCGCCCCCCCGGCTATCCACGCGGATAGCCGCCCCGACCGCGTCCGACACGTCCACAGACTCTGTTGCCTTGAGCTCCCACGTGCGCGCCGTGAATGCAAACGGCTTGGAGGTCAGCGCCCCCACGGGACACAGGTCGATCACGTTCCCAGACAGCTCGCTGGTCAGCATCCGCTCCACATACGTCCCGATTTCCGAGTCCCTGCCCCTGCCAGTAACCCCAAGGTCCTCCACTCCGGCCACCTCCTTCGCGAAGCGCACGCACCGGGTGCAGTGGATGCAGCGCGTCATCACCGTCTTCACCAGCGGACCGAAGTTCTTGTCCTCCACACTCCTCTTGAACCCGTAGAACCGCCCCCGATCGCTCCCAAACTCCATGGACTGGTCCTGGAGGTCGCACTCGCCGCCTTGGTCACAAATGGGGCAGTCCAGGGGGTGGTTCAGGAGGAGAAACTCCATAACCCCCTCGCGGGCTTTCTTCACGAGCGGCGTGGTGGTTTTGACCTTCATTCCCGGCATGGCGGGCATTGCACACGAGGCGACTGGCTTGGGCGCTTTCTCGATCTCCACAAGGCACATGCGGCAGTTGCCCGCGATGGAGAGGCGCGGGTGGTAGCAGAAGCGGGGGATGTCAATGCCGGCCGCGTCGCAGGCCTGTAGGGAGAGGAGAGAGAGGGGAGAGAGGAGGGAGAGGAGAGAGAGGAGAGAGAGGGGAGAGAGGAGGGAGAGGAGGGAGAGGAGGGAGAGGAGAGAGAGGAGAGAGAGGGGAGAGAGGAGGGAGAGGAGGGAGAGGAGGGAGAGGAGAGAGAGGGGAGAGAGGAGGGAGAGGAGGGAGAGGAGGGAGAGGAGGGAGAGGAGGGAGAGGAGGGAGAGGGGTGGACGGGAAAGGGAGGCAAGGCGAGAGGGGTCTGGGCGCCTTCTCGATCTCCACAAGGCACATGCGGCAGTTGCCGGCGATGGAGAGGCGCGGGTGGTAGCAGAAGCGGGGGATGTCAATGCCCGCTCCGTCACACGCCTTTAGGAAGGGAGGGAAGGGAGTGGACAAGTCCAATCATCGTTTAAATAAATAAATAGAAAAAGGACTTCTGGTGTCTTAAAAAACCAAAGAAAAGGGACTTCTGATGTCCAATGCAAGCGCTCTTCTCCAGAACGAGTACCGCCATGTCAGTTCACTAAGCTTTGAAAAAACAAACTCGCTTTTCAGTGATCGAAGCATGTCGGATTCGGTTCTATGCGGTCGACAAACACCTGGATGACTCCCGGCGGCGCGCTTTGAGTGATCCTACCTACTTCAAAACACACCTGATCGAAGCTTGATCCGCCAAAATCCGGATCGAAGCATGTCGAATTCGGATTCTATATGGCCGACCACGACGTCGATGTGATTCAGAGAGGGGACGCACCGTCCGACAGATTTCAAAGCCGACTGAGAATTGAATTCAAAGTCACCTGAACCGCCAAGCTCTCACCTCTCACCTGCAGCACCATCGAGCCCTTGGGAAAGTGCAGCCCTTTCCCATCGACGAGCTCTCGATGTGATCCGGCGTTGAGAGAGGAGGATGAGGCGGCGGAGATGCCTTTCCTAGTCGACTCTAACGCCGTCTGAAAGGTCTGTCTCTCACCTGCAGCACCGTCGATCCCTTGGGAACGTACAATCCTTTCCCATCGACGAACACCTCGATGTGATCCGGCGGGGGAGGCGGCGGAGCAGCGGGTTCTGCCGCTGGCTGCGCAGCGGCCGCGGGGGCTCCCGCGGACGCGGTGGGGGAAGGCGTGGGCTTCAGCAGGGACGCGGCGGAGGTGATCGTGCGGAGGAGGGACAGCGGAGCGGAGGGGGAACCATCGGCGGAAAGGCGGAGGGATGGCACGGAATGGGCGGTTGACGTGGCTGATCGGGGGGAGTGGGAGAGGGAGCGGGACAGGAGCTGGGAGGCGCGGCGAGCGGAGGATGCCTTGGCGACGCGATACATGGTTAAAGACGTATGGAGGACGAACGTGATCTAATACCGCGGATGGGTGCTTGGCGTTTGGAATGCGAGTGTCTTGTATGCCGGGGAACGGGGGCGGAAGAGACGTGCGGAGGGTGCGGAATGCGCAGCGTGACTGCGATTAGAGTGCAAGGGAACGCAGCGCAAAAACTGCAGCCCTTGACGCCTGACGCCCAAACGCGGCTGCAGGAAACGCAGCGGAAAGGTGGGAATGGGTAAGGAGCGACTAACTACCACCCCAACGGAAAATAAGATGCTTCAAGCAACCCTAAATGATGGCGGAAGGGATGGCGGGCCAAAGTGGCGGAAGCGGAGGGGGAAGCGGAAAGTGAAGCGGAGAGGCAAGGGGAAAGATGGGGAAAAACCTGCCAGCCTCCTCCTCGACAACTCATTTCTTGTCAGTGGCGGGAGGCGAAACACTCACTGATGAAGGCAATAAATGCAATAGAGTCGTTGGCTTCACCCCTAGGGGCGTGTACGAGACTGGTTTGAAAATGTGGGGGGGCGATTAAATGAATAAAAAATATACGCCCATGGGATTATATGGAAAGTTTACATTTGACATTAAAACGTACCTACTGGTCTGACTTGTGCAATGGGATAAATTTTAGCGAGGCTTCATAAGTCAATCGCGCTGGAAATCCAGTCGGCAAGTTGCTAGGCTAGAAACTCGCCGTTCTGACACAAATCGTGCTGGCGCGAAGTGTTAGAGAGGGTAAGTTCCGCTTCTGGCCGGAACGAAGCGAGACCTCGGTATTACCTGGATCCGCTTCAACTTTTTGCACAGTGTTTCAAGAGAAATTACGGGGGGGGCTTATATAGGAAACAGGTTTAGAGAAATGAAGGGGGGCCTATAATCGAATAATGCTTATAAGTCCCAATGCACGAGTTAGAGCCCATGGGACTAGTCCTACGGAGGGGCGTCTATACTGGTGATTACGTTAGCTTGAAATAAATATTACATGACAAAGTGGGGCAAACTAGCAATGCTGCTGCTGCCACCACCACCGAACATGCGAGAGACAAAGCCAAACAGGCCACCACCACCACTGCCAGAGGAAAAGAAGAGCTGCTCCCCGCCTCGCCCTTCCTGCCTTGGATCCAACCACGGCCTTCCCAGACCCCATCCCCCCATCCTCATCCATCTCATCCCCCACCCCCTCACTCTCTACATCGCCGCTGCCCAGCCCCGCCTCGTCCCTGCCTAGCCTGCGCTCCCCCCTGCTGCACCCGTCGATTCACCATCCAAATCATCCACATTCTCCATGCCTCCCATGCCGGACGTGGCACCCCCTGATGTCGCTCCGCTTGAGCCCTCGTCCTCGCCATAAGGGTCTGTTGCTGCTGCTGCTCCGGTGACCTTACCAAGCCTGCTGCTGCTTGTGGTGCCGGTGCCAAAGCCATTGGTGCTGCCAAAGCTGCGGCTACTGCTCCTTGTCCCGAATAGACCATTAGCACTGCTGCTGCTGCTACCAGCAAGGCCTGCCGCAATGTCGTCTGCTGCGCCATCATTGTAGTCGTTTGCAGCACCATCAGTGCCACCAGCGCCACCAGCACCAGCAGCGGCACCAGCGGCAGCACCAGCGGCAAGCGTAGTCATCATTGCCCTCCATGCCAAGTCCTTGCTGCTGCTGCCCTGCCCTCCCTCCAAACAACCCTCCTGCTCCTGCTCCTCCTGCTGCTCCTGCCTACCCCCTCTGCTGCTGCTGCTGCCAGGTGCTTCCCGCTCTCCCTCCCAGACGACCCCCAGCAGCACCAC